CAATCCACTCACCTCAGCCTCCCAAAGGCGCGGGATTACAGGCTGAGCCACCGAGCCCGGCTAACCTTTGCTCTTTCAAGTAATACTCTTCTGGAAATTTATTATCAAGAAATAATCCAGAAGGAACAAGTTTTGCCCACGAGGATTTTTATATAGAGCCCCATTCATATAATGAAAAATCGCAAATGATCTAAATGCCCAGTTGTAGAATACTTTTTATGTAAATGATGATACAGGTTGAGCACCCCTAGTCTAGAAGTCCAAAATGCTCCAAAACCCTTTGAGCGCCATGTTTCTACTAAGTGCATTAGGCACATATGAAACATAAACGAATTTTGTGTGTAGACTTGGGCCCCACCCCCAAGATATCTCATATATATGCGAATATTCCAAAATTTTCACAAAAATCTGAAACACTTGTGGTCCCAAGTAATTTGGATAAAGGCTGTTCAACCTGTATATTAAGACCATGGAATAGTGTGCGGATATTAGAGATTACAGTCACAACAAGCAACAGGGAGGGGCCTACGATAGGAAGTGGGGAAAACACCAGCCTGCAGGTACCAGTGCTCCAGTTCTGAACCAAATGATAGCTGGTGCTTTCAGCATTGTTAAGATGACATTTATTTTGGACAATGTGTGGATGGGAACTTGTGAACAGCTTAATTTGTTGGGAAGAATTAGAAATGAATTTGGCTTTTTTTCTGTTATTAGAAATGGCTTGAATATGATACAAAGGAAAGAAAAAAATTTCACTGCCTTCTCAAGAAAAATGTGGGGTTTTTGTTCTGTTTGTTTTTTTCTTTTTTTTCCCCAAAGGCTTTTTGGTGAGAACTGGTGGAAGCCTTCCCCTTTAAGGTCTTGGGTGGAGAGGGAAGGGTCTGAACTCTATGTGGGCGGGTTATTTGAATATGCAGGCATTCCTCCTTTGTTTGTGTGTGTGAGAGAGGCAGCGTACATGTGTGTTTTGGGGTGTGGAGGTGTGAAGGGATGGGGGAAGAAGGATAGGGAACACGATAAAATTAGGTTAAGATAAATTTCTAAAGACTTGGGCAGAAAATGTAGACAACTGAAGCCTAATTAGAAAGGATCTAAGTCGTTGTTCTTATGCAAACTCACTCTTGAGCCCTTATTCTGAATGTTGATGTGCTTTAGTGCTTTGGTCAGTAAAATTGCTGATCCTTTCTTTCCACCCCAGGAAGCAGGAAGGCCAGTATTTTGGACCACTGAAAATTCTTGCTCTGCACAAAAACTGTCCCAGCAAGGGCATTCTGAGAGTATTAGCACCTCAATGAAAGTGACAGACATAGCAGAGCAATGGATCTTGGGGTTGACTGGGGTTGGTGGTTGCTTTCCCAGTTATTTACTTAATGAATGGTTTATTTCCTTAGCCACCTGTTAACTGTGCCTGGGATGTAGTTGTCAACTAACAAAGCCCCTGATGGACAGCTTCCCTGCTGTCCCAATGCTGAAAAGATTTCTATCTACAGAACAGACGCTTGCATAGACTCACTCTGGGCTTTTCTCCCTCCCTGGGAGCCAACAATGAAGTCTCAGTGGTGCATTCATAGTCAAAGCCACTTGATCCTCTGGAATCCCAAGCGTCCTCAGCAGGGATGCTTTTGTCGGTGGCCCCTGTTCTCTCTCCTGTCCCCAACACATAGACACCCGTGGACCTGGACCCTTCTCTGCTAGGGTCGAGCTGCACCTTCTCTAACCTCTCTCCTCCTCCTCCCTCTGTTAATAGAAACAGACTTACCAGCCGGGCTCGGTGGCTCAGCCTGTAATCCCGCACTTTGGGAGGCTGAGGTGAGTGGATTGCCTGAGCCCGCGGGTTCGAGACTCACCTGGGCAACTTGACGAGATCTCATCTCTACAATAAATCAAAAAATCAGCCGGGCGTGGTAGCGCGTTCCTGTAATTCTGGCTACTAGGAAGGCTGAGGTGGAGGGATTGCCGGAGCCCAGCAGGTCGAGGCTGCGGTGGCCAGGAGCGGCCACTGCACTCCAGTCTGGGCGACAGAGTGAGACTCCAACTCAAAAAAACAAAAACAAAAACAAAAAGAAACAGATTTACCTTTCTCAATCTTGCCTATCACTCAGTGACAGTATCCCTCATACTTGTAAGAATTAAATGAGCTGTCATGGTAACACTGTGTCAGGGAAGAAGAAATGTTTTCAGTCTTACCCTGCACGCGAAGCTCCTAGATCTTCCCCCAAAGATTTAGAGAAGAGAACTATAAGCTAAGAGGGCGCCTCGGTCTTCACAAATGGGGTCGAGTGGAACAGCGCTGTGAAGACTGGGAAGTCAGCTGAGGTGTTCTGGTGACTGCTGTGACCTCATAGCTCAGGCTGATCTTAAAGGATAAAAGAGAAGTAGTGGGTATGCCTCGGTGTGTCAACCTTGTAACAACTACCAGGTAGGATGTGTTTAAGAACTGCAGGGTTGCATTGTTCTTAAATGGGACCAGAAGAAGGACTTTTTCAGCAAATACATGGCAGGGAACGAAAGGTAAGGAGAACCTATAGATTTAATATAATTCCTTGAGGTGGCAACCATGTACAATATGTAGACTTTGTTTGAATTGCAATCTGAGCTAATTGACCAAAAAATAATAAAATAAAATGTCTGTATATGAGTGTATATATATATTAAGGAAAAAGTTAATTGTTTAGGTATGACAATGGCGTTATGGTTTGCTTTTTATTTATTTTTACTTTTTGAGTCAGAGTCGCACTCTGTCGCCCAGGCTGGAGTGCAGTGGCATACTCAGCTACGGAAGCCTTGGCTTGCTGGGCTCAGGCTATCCTTCCACCTTGGCCTTCCAAGTGTCTGGAACTATACGCATGCACCACCATGCCTTGCTAATTTTTGTATTTATTGTAGAGACAGGTCTCACCAAGTTGCCCAGGCTGGTCTCGAGCCTGTGGGCTCAGGCAATCCTCTCTCCTCCTCCTCCCAAGTGCTGGGATTACAGGCGTGAGCCACCATGCCCGGCAGTTATGCTTTTAAAAGAGATGTTATTTGCTGGTTGCTGTGGCTCACGCCTATAATCCCAGCACTTCGGGAGGTGGAGGTGAAAGGATTGCCTGAGCCCATAGGTTCGAGATGAGCCTGGGCAACTTGGCGAGACCTCATCTCTACAATAAATAAAAAAACTAGCTGGGCGTGGTAGTGCACGCCTGTAGTCCCAGCTACTTGGAAGGCTGAGGCGGAAAGATCACCTAAGCCCAGCAGGTTGAGGCTGCGGTGGCCATAAGCGTGCCATTGCACTCCAGCCAGAGCGACAGAATGAGACTCCAACTCAAAAACAAAAAAAATAAAATAATCCATTATTGGCGAGAGGTGATATCAATGAAAACAAAATTGGTTATGAGTCGGTCAGAACTTGGTGTTTGACACATGAGGGTTCATTACACTATGATTTTCACTTCTGTACGATGTTCAAAATTTTCTGTAATGAAAGAAAGGTTGATGCTGCAGTGAGCCATGATCATGCCACTGTACTCCAGCCTGGGTAACAGAGGGAGACCCTGTCTCTAAAATAAACTTTACAACTAAATTTAACCTTTAAAAACTTAAAGTCTGTTTTCTGTAACAAAAGGTTTTTTAAAATACTCTTGCCAGGGGTAGTGGCCCACGCCTATAATCCAGCACCTTGGGAGGCCAAGAAGGGAGGATTGCCAATACTCCAGCCTAGGCAACAAAGTGAGACCCTGTCTCAAAAAAAATAAAATAAAAAGTCAAAATCCTCTCGGAGGGCGTAAGGACGGAGGTAACTGAAAGCCACTGTGTTTACTGTGTCTGACAGAGTCTGCAGAAGGCTACAGATGTGAACGATGTGGGAAGGTGTTTACCTACAAATATTACAGAGATAAGCACCTCAAGTACACCCCCTGTGTGGACAAGGGTGATAGGAAATTTCCCTGTTCTCTCTGCAAACGATCCTTCGAGAAGCGGGACCGACTCCGGATCCACATCCTACACGTTCATGAGAAGCACCGGCCTCACAAGGTGAGCCCCAGGAGTGAGCACCCTCAGATTGCTCTTACCGCTCCCTTTCCAATGCTTCTGGAAAAGTCTCAATCACTAGAGTGTATGCTCTTGTGAGGTGTGACTACTTTTGCAATTATTATGTGTCATTTGTGCGATTCTAAAAGAATTTAAAAATAAAATATGGCTTAGGAAGCAAAAGCCAAACTACAGGCTAGAATGACATCACTTAAATTATGTTATTATCGGGTGGGCATGGTGGCTCACGCCTATAATCCCAGGACTTGGGGAGGCCGAGGTGAGAGGATTGCCTGAGCCTATGGGTTCGAGACCAGCCTTGGGCAACTTGATGAGACCTTGTCTCTACAATAAATCACAAAAACTAGTGGGGCGTGGTGGCATCTGTCTGTAGTTCCAGCCCTACTTGAAAGACTGAGCTCAGGTAGAGGCTGCGGTGGCAGTGAACATGCCACTGCCCTCCAGCCTGGGCAACAAGAGTGAGACTCCAACTCAAAAACAAAACAAAACAAATGAATTATGTTATTATGTGTGCTATGTATAATGTTTCACACATAAATGGAAAAGCAATTGGATTGAAACATGTAACTGCTGTCATTCTGGGAGCATGATGAGAGTGAAGAGTGCTTTTTATGTTTTTATTTGATAGCTTCCTTTAGCATTTTGTTTTTATTTTTTTGAGTTGTCGCCCAGGCTGGAGTGCAATAGCATGATCATGACAATTACGGCTCACTGACAATCATGGCTCACTGCAGCCTCTACCTCCTGGGCTCAGGGCCATCCTTCCTCCTCAGTATCCCGAGTAGCTGGGACTATAGGCATGTGCCAGCATGTCCGGCTAATATTTTTTTGGTAGAGACAAGGCTTCACTATGTTTTCCGTGTTGGTTTTGAACTGGTAGGCTCAAGTAATCCTCTCACTTAATCCTCCCAAAGTGCTGGGATTACAGGTGTGAGCTACTGCACCAGGCCTCAATTTTTATTTTTTAATGTGAGAAAATAATGTATGCTTTGTAAATACAATTTAGAGGGGGAAAAAAATCCACCTATTATCCTGCTGCTCAAAATTAAGCTATTTTAGGTGTAATTTTCCTCTCATTGTGTGTGTGTTTTAATATAATTAGGATCATACTGAATATTATGAGGCTACTATACTCAACAATTTATTACTATAAATACTACTTAACATTAGTTTTCAAATCTCTAATCAAGAATTCTAACTCAAGAAATATATTTAGCTGCTCTCCACCAATATGTTCAAAGGGTTGAGGTTTTTCTTGCTTAACATTTACACTTAATTTGACCTGAGCAGAAGAAAAAAAAGCAAAGTGAAACAGTCATTCAAAACTTCAGATAAATGATTTTTAACAAGAAAAATCGTTTCTGAAAGAGAAAAAAAGTAATTGATTGACTAAAATATCAGCAGATGCCGGGTGTACAAGCAACAACTAAAAACTATTACCTTTCTTCCAACCTAAATGTGCCTCCTCTTCACATGACTCATCCATTAAGATCGATGAAGACCAATGTCCCTGAAATGTGACATCAATTTCAGGAAGAACGCAAAATAAAACTGTCAAGAGAAAATCCCTGTAGTCCATAATAGGTATAAGTACAAGAGTTCATGCATGAATTTATAATTTTCCTCCCGTCCAACCTGCTGAAATACCTGACCAATAGAGACAGGATTTGTTTTTTCAAATAAACACTGTTTCTTATACGCTGAATTTCTCAAAATGGCGACTTCCTTGCAAGCGTTTGTTTTTTGCCAGGATGTTTAATTATGTGAGATACCTTTAGTTTCTTACTTTGTATAATGATGCTTACATTTTTATTGGAAGCATTATTTGTGAAACTTACTCTGATTTGGAATTTCTTGGCTCACAAATACGTGAGTTGTCATATTTGGCTATTTTTCATCACCTTCCAGAATTAGTTTTATTGATCTATTGCACTCTTTTCTTTTTAATTTCAATAGCTTTAGCGTATGCAATAGTTTTTGGCCTGCGAGCGGCCACTGCACTCCAGCGTGGGCGACAGAACAAGACTCCCACTCAAAAAAAAGAAAAAAAAGGAAATAATATTCAAAGCTGGGCTCGGTCACACAGCTCCTTGTTGACAGAGCAGGACTGAATCACACTTCTGTCGTACCACAATCTTGGGCAGTTCTCTCATGTCACATCTGAAGCAACTGACACTCAGACATGTCCTAAAATCACAGCATAAGTGACCAACCTGGGCAGAATCTGGACCACAGCCCACACTTTCTGCTTCTTCATTTACTCCCAGAGTGTCTTCTACTGTCCCAGAGAAAGGGCAATCCATGGCTTCCAGATACACACGGAATAAACACAGGATTTCTCTTCTCACCCACAGGTTAATGCAAGGTTTAAATGGGCTTGTTAGCAGAGACATAATTTCACCTATATTTTTCTTTTTCACCTTAGTGTTCTACCTGTGGGAAATGTTTCTCTCAGTCTTCCAGCTTAAACAAACACATGAGGGTCCACTCTGGAGACAGACCTTACCAGTGTGTGTATTGTACAAAGGTAAGTGGATCTGTCTCGAGCTCTGCTGGGGTGTCATGGGTAAGAACTTAGAGCATAAAGCCTGGTTTAACATGAGCTCTTGGCAAATGTTAGTCAAATACCAGCTCCATCCTCATCCTCAGGTATGCTTAAGTTTGCTAAAGATGTCAGATACAACCTCCTATTACTGAGCTAGCATTTAGAGCATGTATAATGAAGCACATCCTGAATTACAGAGACCTGATGACCACAGACACCTCCAGACTCAGCCAAGGCTCAAATCTTGGTTCTGATACTTCCCTAGTTGTGTGTCCTTGAACATGTCCACTGACTTCTCTTGAGTATCTTCTTTGGGAAAATCAATCCTCTTTATAGAGTTGTTGAATTGAATCAGTGAAATATGGAGAACTCTCATAACACTACTGGGTGCAACATAAATACTACTGAAATGCTAGCTACTATTATTGCTACTTTAGACTGGGAGGATATGGCTGATCTGACTTTCTACAGGGACATTGTAGAAGTGGCATCTCATCTATGTTGTACAGAATATACAGCTGTAAAAACGGAGAGACAAATACATGCCTTGGTTGCTGTAACAGAGATAGTAGCGTGACGGTCACCTTTAGAAATAATAGTCAAAGCCGGGCTCGGTGGCTCAGCCTGTAATCTCGCGCCTTGGGAGGCTGCGGTGAGTGGATTGCCTGAGCCCGCGGGTTCGAGACCCGCCTGGGCAACTTGGCGAGACCTCATCTCTGCAATAAATCAAAAAATTAGCCGGGCGTGGTAGCGCACGCCTGTAGTTCCAACTACTTGGAAGGCTGAGGCAGAAGGATCACTGGAGCCCAGTGGGTCGAGGTTGCGGTGGCCAGGAGCGGCCACTGCACTCCAGTGTGGGCAACAGAGTAAGACTCCAACTCAAATAAATAAATAAATAAATAAATAAGAAAATATACAAACACACATATGTATGTATATATGTATATGTTTATTTTTGAGCCGAGGTTTCACTTTTGCCCAGGCTAGAGTGGAGTGGCAGGATCATGGCTCACAGCCTCTAATTCCTGAGCCCAAGTGATCCTCTCATCTTGGGCTCCCAAGTAGCTGGAATTGCAGGTACATACCATCACTCCTGGCTAATTATTTTACTTTCTTTGTAGATAGGAGGTCTCACTGTTACCCAGATGGGTCTCGAACTCCTGGGCTCAAGTGATCCTCCCACCTCAGCCTCCCAGAGTGCTGGGATACAGATGTGAGCCACCACACTTGGATACACACACACACACACACACACACACACACATTACATTACATTAAAGTAATAACAATAAAATAAATAAAAAACATTGAGTCTACCAGGTTTAGGAAAACTAATACCTCCACAGAAAGTATATGTCAATAAATGAAAATTATTGGCAAAGAAAAACAGAGCTGAGGCATAATTAGACTTTGTAAACTTAGCACAAACCAATGGAAGGCAGTTTTAATTTTGTGTGAAAAAGCAGTCTGTCCTGAAAGGCAAATGCTCTCCCATGGGATTCCCAATGTAAAGATAAAATACCCTACAAACCATCTCAAAAAGCCTACATTAAAAAAAAAGATACGATCCTGACTCGCGCAAAAACACCAGTATTAGCTTCTCCTGCTGTAATGCAGTTTGTCTTGAAGTGTGGTCCTGGGACTACTTGCAGCAGAATTGCTTGGGTTTTTTTGTTGTTTGTTTGTTTGTTTGTTTAAATGTTTAGCTGGGCGAGGTGGCTTAAGCCTGTAATCCCAGCATTTTGAGAGGCTGAGGTGAGAGGATTGCCTGATCCCAGGGGTTTGAGACCAGGCTGGGCAACATGGTGAGACCTCACTCCACAATAAATCAAAAAATTAGCTGGGTGTGGTGGCATACGCCTGTAGTTCCACCTACTCAGAAGGTTGAGGCAGAAGGGTCACTTGAGCCCAGCAGGTTGAGGCTGCGGTGACTGAGTGTGCCACTGCACTCCAGCCTGGGCGACGGAGTGAGACTCCAACTCAAAAAAAAAAAAAAAAAAAGGTTGGGCGTGTTGGCTCAAGCCTATAATGCCAGCACTTAGAGAGACCGAGGCTCAAGGATTGCCTGAGCCCACGGATTCAAGACCAGCCTGGGCAACTTGGAGAGTCCTCGTCTGTACAATAAATCAAAAATTAGCTGGACGTGGTGGTGCGTGCCTGTAGTTCCAGCTCCTTGAAAGGCTGAGGCGGAAGGATCACCGGAACCCAGCAGATCGAGGCTGAGGTGGCCGGGAGCAGCCACTGCACTCCAGCCTAGGCGACAGAGTGAGACTCTACTCAAAAAAAAAAGTTTAATCTTTTCTAAGGTAACCCAATCTGTGTAAGGACTGCTTGTTTAAATGCAGGCTCCTGGGTCTCATGTCAGGTTTACTGGCTCCCACTTTCTGGGGTAGGGTTGGCAATCTGCTTTTGTTTTTTGTTTTTAGGTTCAGGCAATCCACTCGCTTCGGCCTCCCAAAGTGCTGGGATTACAGGCTGAGCCACCAAACCTGGCCCAATCTGCGTGTTACCTGACCTACGGGTCATCTCAGCCAGAGGGGCACTGTAGCAACACCCAGTACTGCTCAAAACCAGCCAGAAAGCCGAATCATGAGTCCTTTCTGATTAAGGCTACTGCTGATGGCCATGAGTGCCTTGTAGCCTTAAAACCCAAGGTTCCCTGGGCTCGGTGGCTCAGCCTGTAATCCCGTGCCTTTGGGAGGCTGAGGTGAGTTGATTGCCTGAGCCTGAGGGTTCGAGACCCGCCTGGGCAACTTGGCGAGACCTCATCTCTGCAATAAATCAAAAATTAGCCGGGTGTGGTGGCACGCGCCTGTAGCTCCAGCTACTTGGAAGGCGGAGGCGGAAGGATCGCCAGAGCCCAGCAGGTTGAGGCTGCGGTGGCCAGGAGCGGCCACTGCACTCCAGTCTGGGCGACAGAGTGAGACTCCAACTCAAAAAAAAAAAAAGAACCCAAGGTTCATCAGTCATAGCAATGAAGTTAACCCTTCTGTTAGCCGCTCTCCAGCTCACAGAAGCTGACTGTTTCTTCTGCTCTCTGTTCTCTGTAGAAGTTCACTGCCTCCAGCATTCTCCGCACACACATCAGGCAGCACTCCGGGGAGAAGCCCTTCAAATGCAAGTACTGTGGGAAATCTTTTGCCTCCCACGCTGCCCATGACAGCCACGTGCGACGCTCTCACAAGGAGGACGAGGGTTGTTCCTGTAGCATCTGTGGGAAAACCTTCCCAGATCAGGAAGTGTTCTACTCCCACATGAAGTTTCATGAAGACTACTATCCTTTGGGAGGGGGACGGGACGACACAATGTGAAAGCGAGGGACTCAGTTTCTCTATTTCTTATTATGGGTTATATAACCTCCCTGAACTGGAAATACCGTCCGAATTTCATGGTGGAAAAAAAGGAAGCCTTCTCCTATTTGCCTTGGGCCCCCAGTTGGATTATGTTTATGGCCATCGCTTGTTCTTTTTTCTTTCTTTCTCTCTTTTTGTAAAGACAGGGTCTCATTTTGTTACTCAGGTTGTTTTCGAACTCCTGGCCTCAAGTGATTCTCCTACTTGAGACTCAAAGTGTGGGGATTATGGGCGTGAGCCGCTGAGCCTGGCCCGTTTCTTTATAGAACAAATTCATTTTTAAAAATTCATTTAGCGCCGGGCTCAGTGGCTCAGCCTGTAATCCCAGTGCTTTGGAAGGCCGAGGTGAGTGGATTGCCTGAGCCCGCGGGTTTGAGACCCGCCTGGGCAACTTGGCGAGCCCTCATCTCTACAATAAATCAAAAATTAGCCGGGCGTGGTAGCGCACGCCTGTAGTTCCGGCTACTCGGAAGGCTGAGGCGGAAGAATCGCCGGAGCCCAGCAGGTCGAGGCTGCGGTGGCCGGGAGCGGCCACTGCACTCCTATCTGGGCGACAGTGAGACTCCAACTCAAAAAAAAAAGAAAAAGAAAAACGTGCTCTACAAGGTATCCCAAGGCTGATGCAAGTATGTGGGGAACGGGCTTCTCCAATGTGCAGAGAGACCACAGACTCCCCTCAGAGGCGGGTAGCAGTAGCCACCATTGATGAAGCATTGGCCCTGTGAGCTGGGGCCACTGAGATGGTGACGAAATTGAGACTGAGAGATGAAGGAAGTGGGGCCCCCAAGAGGCAAAGCCAAGTCGGCCTGACTCCAAAGCCCAGCCTCTGACCTGGCACTGTGCTCAGTGTATGAATCCTGCTGAAAACTAGCATCTTCCTGTTAGCCATCCTTCCCCTTCTTCCCCATGGTAAGGTACGCGACCACAAACTCAGATATTCACATGGAATACTGGAGACCAGGAAGACCAGGATACAAGTGCTTCTAGGCAGCCATAGTTACTGAGGCTGTGTCCATCCAAGCCATGTTTGCGCTGAATGCCCAGGGGTCTACTTCACCCTCCACCATGGCCCACTTCTCTCAAAATGGAGCAAAGTCAACATGGAACAGATGCCCCTTCCAGAGGGAGGCTCGCAGCTGTAGTAGAGCCCTTTGAGACATGGATCCAGTGCAGGTGGAATCGCAGTGACAGATTTTCCTCCAGGGAATTCTTTGCTGCCTTGACTAGGTCTGAGTAATTGATCCTAATGGGAATGTGCCCTGTTGTTTTAGGGCTGTTTTAGTTCATGTTAATTAAGTCAGAACAATGGTCTTTTGAAAAGGTTGGGGCTCATCATGCAATTAGGCAGCCTTTCTTTGACTGCTGGTTCGAATATATTACTTGAACCATTTTCCTATGGTTTGAATGGGTTTGAACATTTAAAAATCAAACAGTAAAGCAAGTCATCTGGAACTGGTGTGATCTCAATTTGTTCACTCATTGAATAATTCAAATTAACTACTTTATTCTTTGAACTAGAATGGTAGCGAAGGGAGGTAGTTATTTTTTGCCCTTTTCTAAGTTACTGAAATGCATGCATGCCAATAATTGAATAATCAAGTAATAATATCATATTATATGGATCATGCATCCCACACTAACTGGAAAATTGGAGGTGAGGGGGCCATTTCATTTAATCTGAGCTGCTCACCCAAAGTTTGTCGATCAGGTTAACCTATCTCAGTTTGTAGTTTTGGAAATAACATCTTTCTAGAGCAATTACCTGAAACTTTCTGATGTTTGTTTGTTTATTTTTTCTCAGTTGACGTCTCACTCTGTTGCCCAGGCTGGAGTGCAGTGGCATACTCATGGCCACCACAGCCTCGACCTACCAGGCTCAAACAATGCTTGCAATTTCACCTTCCGAGTAGCTGGAACTACAGGCGCACGCTACCACGCCTGGCTATTTTTTTTTTTTTACGTATCAGAGATGAGGTCTCACCAAGCTTCCCAGGTAGGACTTGAATCCCCTGGCTCAAGCAATCCTCTCACCTCCACCTCCGCAAAATGCTAGGATTACAGGTGTGAGCCACCACACCTGGCAAGATAATAGATTTTAAGAAATAAACACCGGATGCGGTGTCTCACGCCTGTAATCCCAGAATTTTGGGAGGCAGAGGCGAGAGGATTGCCTGAGACCAGCCTGGGCAGCTTGGTGGGACCACATCTCTGTGATAAATCAAAAAACTTAGCCAAGCGTGGTGGCATGCGCCTGTAGTTCCAGCTATTTGGAAGGCTGAAGTGGAAGAATTGCCTGAGCCTGACAGGTGGAGGCTGTGGTGGCCATGAGCATGCCATTGCACTCCAGTCCAGGCAAAAGAGTGAGAACCTGACTCAAAAAAAGAAAAGTGTGTATCTCACCTATTTGACTTTATATTTTCTTTTCTTTTTATAACTTGTTCATTGGGAAGTGTATCTCACCTATTTTGGGTGAGGAGTTGGGGTCTCATTCTGTCGTCCAGGTTGGAGTGCAATGGCATAATCACAGCTTCACCACAGCCTCGACCTCCTAAGGCTCAGACAATCCTTCCACCTCAACCTCCAGAATAGCTGGGACTACAGGAGCACATAGTCACACTCGGCTATTTAAAAAAAATTTTTTGTAGAGATGATGTCTCACTATGTTGCCTAGGCTGGTCTTGAACTGCTGGGCTCAAGCAATCCTCCCATCTGGGCCTCCCAAAGTACTGAAATTACCTATGTGAGCCACAGCACTCAACTATCTAACCTATTTCTAGAGATAGTTTGAACCAGCTTATAACACTTTTAAAAAACAGATTAGGACAGCTAAAATAGAAGACAAACCACCATATAGAAACTACAATGAAATTTTTTTTTTTGAGTTGGAGTCTCACTCTGTCACCCAGACGCGTGCAGTGGCCGCTCCTGGCCACCGCAGCCTCGACCTGCTGGGCTCCGGCGATCCTTCCGCCTCAGCCTTCCAAGTAGCTGGAACTATAGGCGTGCGCTACCACGCCCGGCTCATTTTGATTTATTGTAGAGATGAGGTCTCGCCAAGTTGCCCAGGTGGGTTTCGAACCCGCAGACTCAGGCAATCCACTTGCCTCAGCCTCCCAAAGGCGCGGGATTACAGGCTGAGCCACCGAGCTGGGCTTAATGGAGCGCTTAATGGACCCTTGGGGTGTCCTAGGGCCTGGGGAAGTTGGCAGTTGCAGTGAACGAAACTCAAAGTACACAGATGCTTGGGACCTCAATGAGCCTGCTGTAGGCTCAGTGTTTGTGGCCACAAAGTCACGGCTCGGTCTGTACCCAAAGCATAGAGTAGGCTGGGGTTGGAGGCAGCTGCTGCTCAGTGTTATGTGTAGTTAGAGGGAAAATCAAATACTGTCCAAGACCATCTATTATCTGTGGGTTCAATTTTGACATGATAGGAATATTGGAATTGTGGACTATTTCACTTACAAGTGTTGTTTGTTTTTTATTTTTTTGAGTAGGAGTCTCACTCTGTCATCCAGACTGGCATGCAGTGGCACATTCATGCCCAGCTATGTTTTTTGATTTATCGTAGAGATGAGGTCTCACCAAGTTGTCCAGGCTAGTCTCGAACCCCTGGACTCAGGCAATCCTCTCACCTCCACCTCCCAAAGTGCTGGGATTACAGACTTGAGACATCGTGACTGGCTACAAGTAGTAAGTGCTTTCTTGCAATGCTTTATGACTCTAGGGTCAGTAATTGCACTGAATTTCTAATTTATGAACACTAACTAAAGCCCAGGAGAAATTGTACAGAAACATGGACGCTGGGCACAGTGGCTCATGCCTGTAGTCCCAGTTACTTGGGAAATTGAGGCAGAAGGATCATCTGAGCCCCAGAGGTCAAGACTTCAATGAGGCCATTGCCTTGCTAGATGCTGGTGTACCCATTTGTTCTTTGAGCTCTGGCTGTCTCCATGCCTCCTGGCTCTGACCCCCTCTCCCATCTTGGGGAGGTGAATCTTCTCTCTCTCTCTCTCTAATTTACTCCTAAATAAACTATATTTTCTAATCTAAAAAAAAAATACTGCAATGAGCCCTGATCATACCAATGTACTTGGGCAACAGAGTGGGACCAAATTCAAAAATTAAAGAAACATTGAGCTAGACTATCATATCATAATACTTTTTGTTTGGCAAATATTAGAACAGCCAAAATTATTTTGAAAGAAAAATGGTGTTAAGAATGATATAAGGAGCCAGGCTCGGTGGCTCAGCCTGTAATCCCGCGCCTTTGGGAGGCAGAGGTGAGTGGATTGCCTGAGCCCGTGGGTTCGAGACTCGCCTGGGCAACTTGGCGAGACCTCATCTCTACAGTAAATCAAAAAATCAGCCGGGCGTGGTAGCGCGTGCCTGTAATTCCGGCTACTCGGAAGGCTGAGGCGGAAGGATCGCCGGAGCCCAGTGGGTTGAAGGCTGCAGTGGCCGGGAGCGGCCACTGCACTCCGGTCTGGGTGACAGAGTGAGACTCCAACTCAAAAAAAAAAAAAAAAAGAATGATATAAGGGCTACTCCTTTGGGTCCCCTCCCACTGTGGGAACTTTTTGTCATCTCAATAAATTCTGCTTTCTAAAAAAAAAGGCAGAAAGTCGGGCTCGTTGGTTCAGCCTGTAATCCCGCACCTTGGGAGGCAGAGGTGAGTGGATTGCCTGAGCCCGCGGGTTCGAGACCCGCCTGGGCAACTTGGCGAGACCTCATCTCTACAATAAATCAAAAAATCAGCCAGGTGTGGTAGTGCATGCCTGTAATTCCAGCTACTCCGAAGGCTGAGGCAAAAGGATCGCCGGAGCCCAGCAGGTCGAGGCTGCGGTGGGCGGAAGCGGCCACTGCCCTCCAGTCTGGGCGACGGAGTGAGACTCCAACTCAAATAAAAAAGGCAGAAAGAAAGATATAAAATAGAAATTAACATCTCCCTCTCTGATAAT